TGTCCATGCATCATTTTTGTTTTATTTAACTATTAACCAAGTTCTCTTAATTCATTGTGCATCTTATGACAGTAATTTTTATTTCTTTGTCTATTTCTCCATTTTTTAGTGTTTGGTTCATGGAAATTTAATTAGTTCCTTTAAATGTGTCTTGGTCACCTGTTTCTTTGTTTAACTTCCTTTTCTCCATTTTCTTTTCCTTCTTTTATTTGTCATTTCATTAATCAGCTGACACACCCATATTTTACAATTTAGTTTCACAGAGATTTCACAGAGTCTGGCTACAGTTTCTCTCAAACTGAGGAGTATGAGTCCCTCCTGAGATTTTGCATGTAATATCTTTGAAGTTTTCTCCTTTTCTTCTTGATGTTGCCTTAAATCATGGACCTTGTGAGCCATCTACTGTCTACCCGAGGATTTGCAGACTCAACTGAGTTTCTGTTAAGTCTAATTATTCAATACCCCCCACCTGGTATCTTGTTCTGTCATTTGGTGGATACAGACAAGACAGAAAAAAGTCCTTTAGGCAGCCTCCTTCAATTCAGTTGGCTGTATGTTCTACTGGTTTTCCTTCCTATAGAGAAACAGGAATGTTGCAGGATTCCTCCTAAATAAGCCTCCCATATAGATTGGAAGAGTGGTATGGTTCTGATGAATGGACAGAATACTGAATTTCCTATACAGCTTTTATGCAATTGGCTTTGTGCTTGTTTGAGACTCAGACCTTTTAATCAGTTTCTAGGTATCTCCCATAAGTATTTTGTTGATTTTCTGTATGGACCGTGTGAGGGCCTAGGACTTAGCTATTTTGCCACCTTGCAGATGTCATTTTTCTCATTTTGTTATTTGTTATGTTTCAACTTCTTAGATGAGATTTATTGTGTTGAGTCATTATCACCATATTTCATTTGATTCTTTAAACAATGTTTATTTTAATTCTTAGAACATATTTATCATCTTTATCTGGACCCAGTTGGAGTTAGTTAACAATTGTTAGTATCTCACATTTGTTTATTTGAACATCTGTATTTGGGATGAGAACACAAAGTTTTATGAGTATTCAAGTCTGCTTTGGGTTTACTTTCTAATGATCTCTTTCAATCCTATTGGAATACAACAATTTCTTAGGAATGTTTGTAAACCTTATCTCAGACTTTGGTTCTCTTATTCCCAGGATCTTCCTACTAAATCAAATTTATGGCTGTTTCACAACTCCCCTCAACTGGGATCATAATATTGCACTAACAAGGCTGTTTTCTAAATGTTTCCTAAAGCATCTGCTACATTTATGGGTATTGCCACCATAAGTTTTATAGTCTCCACATCAAAACAGTTTCATTGTGTGTGGCAGAAGGGCTGCAGGTTAACCTGGAGAGCAGTTCTAGACAAGAGATCCAAAATGTATCTGTTCTTTTATGTTATGGCAGCATTGTATTGATACATATTTCTCTATTTATTGCCTTTATTCAATTTTCATTGAATTGGGGATTAAAATCTTATCCATGCCATAATTCCTTAATAGTCAATATAAAAATAATTAAAATCTGACTTACATAAAGAAATTTAAAACCAAAATGTAAAAACGTCTAACATCTGATTACATAGTATTTATCTTGTCTAGTGTTATGGGTTTTAGAGAAAAGTTAATCAATTCACACTACATTGGCAAAGTGTTCCTGTACATTAAAAAAACTTGAAAAATCCAAGTCGTCTAGACAAATCTAAATCTTGCTGTCACATATACCATGATGTTTTTAATACATTTCTGTAGGCTTTGTATTTTGTGTATTAAAATCTAACTTATGCCATGATTCTTAATGAATCAGTATTAAACATACAAAATTTAAAAATTTTACAATGTTAAGAAATTTGCTTAACAGCAAAAGGAGATATGTCTAAATTCTGATTATACTAGTAATGATCAGCATTTAATCAATAATACTATAAATTCACAGTAACTTAAAGAAGCTTAATGTCACTGTTTCAAGTAAGCCTTGCCCCATTTATACTGTGATTATATTTACCAATTATATTTTAGGGCAGTGATTATAAAGCTCATAAAGATTACTTCTATGTTTTTCTTATCACTTAACTACTCACCTCGAAAGTAAAACACCTCTATCTGAGGTAACACCTGTCAGTTCTGTTTCTCAATAGGATAATTTAGGAATGCAAGGCCAAAGGTGATTAAACCCTTACAAAGCTTAGGTTGGCACAAGTGCTTTCAAAAGCCTTATCTGTGGCCTGGGGATGTGGCTCAAGAGGTGATGGGCTCGCCTGGCATGCACAGGACGCTGGGTTCGATACTCAGCACCACATGAAAGATGTTGTGTCTGCCGAAAACTAAAAATAGATATTAAAAAATTCTCTCTCTCTCTTAAAAAAAAAAGCCTTATTTGTTATGAGGCACTGGGGATCAACAGTAAAAAATTTGATTCTTTGTTAAATCCTTTCCTTAGTATTAGACAAACTTTATGTTTGCTGATCTAAAGGGGGATGTATGGCTGCCTATCTCTTAGGAATGGCATGAAGATTTTATGTATGAAGGTATTTTGTAAATTATGTCACAAACACAAATACATACATTTTAATATAGAGGTCACCTCACATGTATCTGGAGTAGTAACAGATGCTTTTTATATCTGTGGGCATGTATTTGCCTCCTAAACAATACTGCAGGGTTGATTTGATTATACCCAAATTATAAATGTGAAAGCGAAGGGTCAGAAAGGTGAGATAACTTATTGAGGTCAAGAATTAGTTTTTAAATTACAATTCTGCCTCCAGAGAGAGTAAAATGTTCCTTTCTACACAGAGATAGACTAATGCACTATTAAATACCTTAAATATTGGTTGGTGGGTTTATAGAAATAAAAATCAATGAATACCATCCCCTTTAGCAAAGCTAAATACATTGTTTACATTTGAAACTGATCATAAATTAAATTTAAAAAATCCTTGAAAGCATTTCTTTGAAAAAAGAAATTATTTCATAATTTTAAAGGTGAAAATAGCATGTTTAATATTAAATAATAGCATATTTCATGCCAAAGATAACAAAGTGGACCAGAGATTAAATTTTATCAACAGAAGTTCTATTCTACTTATAGCAAGCAGTCAATGATAAAGGAGCAGGCCTTCTTTTCATCAAATGCAGTTTTTTTTTCTATAGAGTGAAATTCTTTGTGCCATGTACAGATCTACAAGTTTTAGACACAGTGAATACCAATAGCCACAATCAGAAAGTTTCCATTATGCCACCAAATTCTCTTGACCCTTTGTAGTCATTCAACTTACTCATTCACCTCTGAATGAGTAAGTTGAATGACTTGGCAACCAGTTATTTTCTCTGTCATACAATTTACCTTTACAAAATTTCATGAAAATGTTGTCACAGTATGTAACTTTTTTGAGTCTGGCTTCTTAACATGATGTATTTAAGATAAAGTCATATTGTTTCACATAGCAGTCATCAGTACTTTATACAGATGTACTACAATAGTTGAAAAATACCTGGGTTTCCATTGTGAAAGATGAATAAACACTGCACTCACATGTACATTTTTGTGTGAGCAGCTTTTCTTGGATATTTCTCTAATTGAGTCACATTTACATGTTTAACTTTATAAGAAACTGCCCCTCAAAGTGTTTTGCAATGTGGCTATCCATTTTTTATGACTACAAGCTATGTAGTTATAGTTGTACTACATTCTTGATAATTCTCGCTATTATTATTATTATTCAGGCTTTTCTAAGTGTTTTGGTGTTATTGTAGCTATATTTTACATTCGTTTATAGTCAAATGATGTTGAGTAACGTTTCATATAATTATTTGCCATTTGTAAATCTTGGATGAAGTGCCTGTTCAAATTAATTGTCCATTTTTAAAAAATACCTTTGTTTATTTATTGTTAGGTGGTGCCAAGGATTGAATCCAGTGCCTCACACATGCTAGGCAAGCACTCAACCACTGAGCCACAGCTCCAGCCCATTGACCATTTTGAGGATATGTGTGATATATCTTAGTTTTGAGACTTTTTTTTAATATTCTGGATATAATCTTCATCAAATACATGGTTTGTAAAAATTTTCTCCCAGGCCCTGACTTTTTAAAAAACAATATATGTGTTTATATATATATATATATATATATATATATACACACACACACATACTTACAAGTGGATACAATACCTTTATTTTTTATTTATTCATATATGATGCTGAGGATCAAACGCAGTGCTTCATAACCTCAGTCTCTAAGCTCTGGCTTTTTAAAATTTTATTGTCTTTTGAAAAGCAAACTATTTTTATTTGATGAAATCCTCTTTATCTATTGTCATTTAAAAATAATTGATCCAATATTTGGTGTTGTATGTAAGAATTCCTTGCTGAACTATGGTCACAGGGAGTTTATAAGTTTACATTTTATATTTAGGTCTATGATCCACAGACCTAAAGTGAGAGAAATGTGTTGAGGTCTTCCTTTTTATTTCATACAGGTGTCAAATTTTTCTCTTATATATTGAAAAGAACTATCTTTTCTCCACTGAATTTGTTTCTCCCTTTGTCAAAATTTAATTGGTCTTGTGTGAGCCCATTGCTGATCTTTTGTTTCAATGATTTATGTGTCTTTTATTTTGTCAATACCACGCTATCTTGAGTAGCTTTAAAATAAGTTTTGGTATTTGTAATATAAGCCATCTGGTTTTGTATGTTTTTAAACCTGGTGGTTCTGCTAGTTCTGTTGCCTTTAAACCAAACAAATCTGAGTTAACCTGGCAACATCAACAAAATATCCTGCAGGGATTTTTTAAGAGAATGAACCAAGAAGGGGAAGAGTGGACATCTTAACAAATCTCCTTACCCAGCTAGGGTATACATCTTTCCATAAAAACTGGCAAAGGTTTTCCAACATTCAGGCCTAGCACATATTTCAGTGATATACACCCAATTCTTTCTTAGATTTGGCATCATGAGAAGTAATATTGAAAAGGAAATTAAATTTCTGGTTGTTTATTGAAAATATATAGTACAATTAATTTTTCACATACACCTTAACTCACTTACTGTTTGTAGAAGCCATTTTGCTAAATTTTAGTTATTTGCTACATCCAAATCATGCCATCTCTAAGAACAACTTTATTTCATTCTTAATTTTTATACTTTCTTCTTTTTTCATTTCACTGGCCATCCTGCCAGTGAGAGGCTGAACAGGAATCTAGAGTTTGTACCTCCTTTCCTTGTTTACCACTTTAGGAGAAAGACTTTCATTATTCAATATTTCGCCATTAAAATGACGATAGGTTCTGTAGACACTGGTAGTTTAAGGGTCTGTTTCATTCCTGGTTTCCTGAGTTTTTGCTATAAGTGGATATTTAATCTTGTCAAGTATCATCTCTTCTTCCCTAATTAGGATGATCATATGCTTTTTCTTTATTGTTATACTTGATTATAATGATTTTCAAAGGCTCAAATAGTCAGTATTTCCCAAAATAAATCCCACTTGACAAAATGATTTTTTTGATATTCATGAAAAGTAGTAATTTGTAGTTTTCTTGAATGGTCTTATATGCTGGATTCATACTGTACTTTCTTCCTTTATTGTTTGGCAGAATTCACCAGTGAAACAATATGGAAACGATTGAGTTTTCCTTATGTGAAAACTTATATATAAAGTAAATTTCTTAAACATACATAGGATTCAGATAACCTACTTTTTAAATAGGCAGCAGTTTGTGTTCTTCATGAAATTGTTCTTTTCATCAAATTTGTGGAGATAAATTGTTCAAAATATTCCATTAGTACCTTCTTAGAATTTGGGGATTTAATGATAGCCCTCATCAATGATAACCTTTTACTCTCAACATTTGTCATTCATCTTTTCTTGGTAGCCTAGAAATAACTTTTTCAATTTCTCTGGTCATTTATTGGAATTAGCTATTATTTGCACAATTTATTTTCTCTTTCTGTTTCATTTTTAAGTTTACTGATTCAAGTTTCATTTTATTTTCTTTTTTTCAGTCTACTTGCTCTGGGGGTTTAGTCTTCCTTTTTTAGTTTCTTAAAAAAGAAATATTGAAGTGGACGTGGTAGCACATGCCTGTAATCCCAGCAGCTCAGGAGGTTGAAGCAAGAGGATCACAAGTTCAAAGCCGGCCTCAGCAAAAACGAGGTACTGAGAAAAACTCAGTGAGACCCTGCCTTTATAAATAAAATACAAAATAGGGTTGGGGATGTGCCTTAGCAGTGAGTACCCCTGCGTTCAATGCCTGCAACCAAAAAAATAAAAAATAAAAAAGAAAAAAAAATTAAATCAACTTGTGATTTTCTTTTTAAATACTCCTTTAGTTATATCTCACAAATTCTGATATTGTATTTTTATTTTTGCACAGTTATTCAAATATTTTCTAATTTCTCTTGAATAGTCCATTTAAACCCATGTTAATTAGCAATGTACTTTTTTTCTATAATTGATGTCTACTTTAAATCAGCTACGGTTAGAGAATTCACTCTATGATTTCTTAAGGTCTTAATTTTTTAAATGTTTTACTGAACAGGATCATGTGTCTTAATGTGGTATATCATCTCGTTCCAGGGGCAGGGAAGGGAGAATAATCTTACTCTGTATCCATAAGGACACATAAACAGAGATACAGTATTTTGTGGTTTTAAAATACTGCAGAAGGTGATTAGAATTGGAAAAAAAAAAAAAAAAGTCTAAAACATGTTCCCTGGGGGCAAAGCCAATATAGGGGAAAAAATGGTTGAGAAACACTGGTTTATAGACATTTGATTATTTTATTTTTGTTTAAGTTGTGAAACACTAATACACAGAAAGGCTATTAAAAAAAAAAAAAAGAGGCCCCATTTCCCATGACTCAGATTTAATGGAAGTTGATATTTTGCCAAAAATTTCTTTAAGTAATATAATACACATGTACACACACACACACACACACACACACACCTTTAAGTAACATAATACACATGTACACACACACACACACACACACAGACACACACACACAGTTGTCCACAAACCATAGAATTTTTCCATCTTTTCCTTTCACAGAAGAAACCATTACCTCACACAGTTGGTACTATCAATTCCATGCACGTTTTTGTAATGTTTACTTATGTTCCCAAGAAAAATATAAAGCAGTATTTTGTATACCAATCTTTCTAAGCTCTGAAAAGTTTCATACAATTGCTCATATTTTCTTCTTGAATTTTTAGATTTTTCAAAGATTCCAGTACATAAGGACCATAAGTGCTCCCTCATAATTTTAAAAAGATACAATTATTTTAGAATTGTTCTTTTAGAGTCAAATACCCCTTTTCTCATTTTTAATTGATATGTTTTAAAAATAGATATAATTGCCTCTCAGGTCTTTATATATTAATCATTAATATGTTAAATTTCTGTCAATCTCCTATCACTTTCCATGTTGCTTTAAAGCTTATAATTGTCTTGCTCCCTGTACCCTTATGACTTTCATGTGAATACTGTACCTCTCTACTTTGCATGAAATCTCAGGGTATGATATACAGTAAAATTCTTGAAATGGAAATTCTCTATTTTCCTTAAGAACCATCAGTTCTATCTTTTATGTTACTGACACATATGATTAGCTCTCATTTCTCCTGAATAATCCCAATGAAGTTACCATTTTTATATGTATTAGTAAAGACAACTGATGGAATGTATGTTATTCTTACAGATGAGACATGAAGAACTTTCTACTACAAAGGGAAGTGGAATAAAGATAAAATAATTACTATCACCATTAAGCAAAATGCCATTTGAGTGTTAAATGGTACTGACTTCTTCCCTTTCCTTCTTTGAAAGAATATTTTGGACTTGATTCTGAAGGAGTCTCATTTGCACAACAGTATTTTCTAAATAGAATCTAAAAGAGCAACTTGAAAACTATTGCCCTTTGGTGATTTACCTAATAAGGATTGATTATGCTGTTTCTGTTCATGTTATCAATACAAAAGGCACAATCATGAATAGGACTAGGTGAAGGGTATTTGTGCCATTCTGAGAGAAACTGCCTCCATATATATTATACCCTTGGTGTCACATTCACCTCACACTAGTCCAGCCTTAGATGGAGGCACAAATAGAAAACCACAAGAACAAATTTTACATATCTTACATTGCAGTAATACTTTTGTTTTCAGCTGCCTAATACCTAGTTTCCCACTTGATTTTGTAGTACGATGCTTTTTCCTTTAGATGAAATTTCCTTTAGATAAAATTTCACTTTTCACCCTCAGCTGTAATGTATTTGACCTATACACTGCCAGTTACATGACAAATCCTCTAGTAAGAAGAAAAAGAAATAGGGAACTAAATAGGCTCAAATTATATTATCAGTACTTTCTCAAGACCATGATAACTCCTTTTTTGGACTCAGGAATGATCAGGAACTATCATCAGATTACTGCCAGGATTATGGTTAATACATGTAGGTCTATTTGTATCCAGAAGGGGAAAAAAGTTTCTGAACAATTTCTAGCAATCTTTAAAATTCGACACTTGGGCCATACGCTCTATTTATGAAGTAAGAATAGGTAGGATATATTTGTATGATACTTATAATCCTCAATATTTAAGTTCCTAAATTTGTTAAATACCATCATCCTCCAAGTGAGGCAAGAAACTAGTGAAAGTGTTGGGCATCTAAGTGATAATTAAAATGGAAGAATGACTGAGGTTTTATAACACTTAAGAATATTCACACAACTCAGAAATGAGATGAGCTGATACTATAGTATGGCAGTTTCACCTGGTCCTCCAAGGGTATAAATGTTGGCAGCTTGTTCCTCAGTGTGGCAGTTTTGAAATGGAGAAAACTGTAAAAGTTGAACCTTGTACCAGCCTAGTAACCCTAATGACTGGGTCACTAGAAACATCACCCTCAGACAAGATTTAATAGTTCTTGTGGGAACCCAGTTAATTCCCAAGAAAGGGGTTCCTGCAAAAGAGCAAGACTAGCCCCTTCCCACTCTCTTGATTTTCCTGTTTTACTATGCGATCTCTTCTCACCATGCACTCCTGCCACTGTGATGCCATACACCTTGGAACCCTGAGAGTTAAAAGGTCAGTGGCATATTCTTGGACCTTCAGAATTGTGAGCTAAATACATTTTTCCTTCCAAAGTTATTGTATCAGAAATGGAAAAGAAATTAATACAGCTGAAAACCACTACCATGAGAGCTACATAATACTTGAATAGCATATATCAGACTTGTATTCAGTATTTATGTTCACCAATTTTTTTTACAACTTTAAAGTAGATACTATTATCCCCATGGAAAATGAGGAAAAAAGTCAAGTTAGGCTAAAGTCAAGTCATAGATACAAGATTTCAATTTAAAACCCATACTCATAAAACCATTATATTTCAGTAAAGTCAAATATTTTATTATTTAATTTCCTGTCAGTATTGCAGGATAGGGACTCAAGAGTTTTAAACTTTTTAAATTATTGTTTCTTACATATTTGACATTTATATGCTCTAAGGATAATTTACTCCTTGGCTCCTGTCATAATTCTTGACAATTTCAAAGTCCACTTACATAATACTTTCAAACTTTCCTTATTAATTTCTTAAATTAATCTCTTTCCATTATTTGGACTCATCCTATTCCCATCTTCACATCCTAGAACTTCATTCATTAATCACTGCACTGATATTTTCAATATTAGTCACCCTGTTCTTATTTCAAACAAATTTCTAATTCCTACTACTAGTAAGAAACTTCAACACATTTACAACTATACTGCAATTTACAATTGGCTATACCATTTTCTACTACATCTCAACCTTCTCTTACTTTACTCCTTAACCAGAATACTTTCATTGTGACTCATTATAATAAATCTCTTGAATATCAATACTTTTGCTTTCTTCCAAATTTGTCATATTTACCTTTAAAAATCTCAATTTTCATCAAATTCAACTCTGAGCCTATGCACAGTGATGGCATCCATGTAGAACTTAACTGGAGAAAAACTCAAAACATATTGACTAATCTCACTTAAATTAACAACCAGAGACAGTTAATTATTTTAGGTACTACCTAGCCAGTCATCCCAAGAGTATATTTATCCTTCCATTTTCCTTGTTATTTTAAACACCTTCTTCCTTTCCTCAATTATTCATGACTCTCTCCCTGTTCTCTATAATGTCATTTCCTATTTTACTGAGAAAAAACAAAACTTTCATGTTTGTACTCTCTACCAAACTATAATGTCTTCTTCTCTTCTGCTATTACATTATCTGTTTTTTATAATTTTACAGAAGATCTGTTGGCAGTGACTCTAATGTGAAGGTGTTATCACATACTCACAGACTATAATTAGAACAAGTAAACTTTAAAAAACAGAAATTAAATTTTCCCACTTATATATCCCTGGAATTAATTTTACTCAGGGGAATAGAATAAATCCATATGGGAAACATTTTCCCAGGTGAATGATGTTCTAGTAGCTAAGAGATTCATGGGTATAAAAATGAAATTTCAACTTAAGACAAGGGTACAAAATCCCTAAACTGGAACAAATTTCCCACTACCAAAGAAACCTACTAGAATAATTATAAGAAATAAGATTATTGTAGAAAAAGTGCACTGTATCAAGTTAAGAATGAAAATGGTAATATATATAATCATAAAAGAATACTTAAAATGTACTATTAAATTATCTTAGTGAGAAATTCATATGATTTATACTTTTCTAGATATATAAACTAATATAATTAAAAATACAAGCAGTATTTTATTGGAAAGAAAATAATTTATTATATATGAGAGAAATCATTAAAACACGTTATATATCTTCAATAATCTGATCTAAATGCATATAGATTTAATTTTTAAATATACTTTCAAAGCTGTTACGCACAGTTCCATAGCCAGATGGTCAATTTCTTCTCATCAAAGTTGGAAATCACTTGAAAGATATGGAATTCAAAAGGAACCTAAAATATCAGAAAAGCACATTAAAAATAATCATGATTATAAAATAATCTATTAGTTCAAAAATAACTAAAAGCTAAAACATTTTTACTTAGAAAATTAGTGAATCATGTCAGTACAACAAAATTTTATGCAAATAAACATGTTTCGCAGAAACTGATTTACAACATTAGAAAACAAAACATTTTAATTGTGCATATCAAAAAAATTGTAATTTCAGTTATCTATGAACTTTTTGAACTCTTAGGGTTATAATGGTTCTTAATAAAAGTTTGAGTAGTTTTCATAGTATGTATAATAGCAAAGTTTCCCACAAAGAGATGCAGAGATTCTATCCCTTTATTTTCCTATTTATAAAAGGTTTGATGACAAAGTTAGTTATAGGTGGCCAACCATTTACTCTAATAAAGTAGTATCCCAATAGGACAGTCCTTAAAATTACTAAGGAAACCTTTTCAAATTTGGTTATTGGAACTCACTCTAGAGGTTCTAATTCATCAGTGTTGTTTCACACAGTCTAGGAATCTTTATGCATAAAAACCCTTCTTTGGTGGCTTTCCACCTTGACTGCACATTAGAAAGGCTTGAAAAATTTCAACATCCATGGTACACCCCAAACCAATTAAATCTAAACTCTGTGGGAGGGAAGGAACTAGATATCAATATATATCTAAGGTTATTTTTTCCCCCTTTTAAAGTGATATATATATATATATAATTTTTTTTAACGTTCCCACGGTGTTCCAATGTGCAGCCAAATTTGAGAACCACTGTGTTCCAGTGGATTTTGGACACCAACTGGTCTGGAAATCTCTGTTCTTATATTTCTACCAGGTTCATTTCTTTTCACTTACTGAACTACCCTAAGTCAACATTATGTTTTTTTCTCTTTCCTTATTATTATTATTTTTTGTTTGTTTAGGAAAAGAAACAGGGAGAAGAAACTTCTACCGCTATCTCTGTCAAAAAAGATTTCAAAATGAAGACTTCATATGTGAGGTGTGCTACTCTTATTTGGCATTTATACAGAAATCCAGGTATTTCAATATATGTACATTAAAAAAAATTCCCATTCAAATTGGAGAGCATCTTATACAGAACACCTAAACCAGGTGTATCATAAAATAAAAAAAAACATGTTACTGAATTAGATTTAGGAAATACATAAATAAGAAAGACCACATTCTCTGTTTAAACAAATGCATCATTCTCTAAGTTGACCTGATTCACTAACTTTCCTTGGAAAAACTACACAACATAAATGAAAGCATAGAAAATTCAACAACAAACCTGTTCAAGCTATAGAAATAATTTTAGAAATAGTTCACTTGAATAAAAGTATAGAAAAATGACTACTTAATCTGGATCAGTGGATAGGAAAGTGAAAAAATATCTCTAGAAAAAAACAAAAAACACTGCCCCAAAAAGGATACAACAAGAAAGGATACACTTTGCATGACAGTATTACAGCAGTATTTACGCAGGAATGCTTCTAAAGAAGAACAGCAGAATGCAGTTTAATTTTTTTCTTATTTTTTCAGCATTAGATTTACAAATAAATGACTTTAAAACATACTGAAATTATTCAATTTTTCCCCTAAGATACTTGACTTCTGGTTACAATAGTATAGATACTTTGAACAAAATTCAAATATCCAAGGCATCTCAAAGAGACTAAACACTGCAAAATTTTCTTATTTAGCATTTTTTCAGCTAGACAACAGTAATTTTGACCAATTTATTTTATGTCCTTCCAGTTTAAAAAGGGAGAAATTTTTTTTTAAAAAAAGGAAAGTAATTTACTTCTGCTTATTTCTTAAGTAACAAACTTTAGAATATATAATGCCTAATTTATTATTTCTAATCATAACATTAAAATTGCTTGATCCAGAGGAAAAAAAATTTAATTCCACAAAATTTTTTTTAACATTTTATATTAATAATTAATTGTATATTCTCAGCACTGCAGAATTTTAAGAGTTGGAAAATTTTGCTTTAACTGTTTCTTGTCAGTTTCTAAGTGTGGGCTCTGGACCAAGTTGCCTTATTATAAGGGAACACACTACATAAATTACCAGGTGCCACCCAGAGTAACCAACTTGTTCTGACTTGCCGGATCTTTTTAGCACTGAAGGTAGTGTACACTGAGAAATCCCTCAGTCACAGGAAAACTAGGATGACTTGTCACCCACATCAGTTTTCCTGAATGAGAAATTCTTGGTAGGGAGGGAGAAGCCTAGCAGACTGTTTTACCAAGCTCTCTAAGGGATTTAACATTTTAAAGGTTAAAACCCGCTTCTTTATAAATAAATACTAATAGACATATACTTTATAAAATTCTTTCTCCAAACTTAATTTTTACATACAAATGAACTTTATTCTGCAGTCAATAATTCTGATGTTTTCTGGAATCAACTGTATACATAGAAATTTCCTTAAAATTCTTAAGAGGTATCATAATTATTATTCTAGCAGGCTTTTACACTTCTTTAATTTTGCTTGTATAGAAAGTCTTATCTTTTTATGTTTTCTCCACACTTACCTTTGTTAATATTTAACACTTTCTTTTCCCTTCTTTTGCATCTTGTTTGGGTCTAGCAGATCGAGCAAACTGCTAATATTTTAAAATTAAGGTTTCCTTCACAAAAATGAAAGTAATTTTTTTCCTACATAATCATCGTGGGGGGAGGGGAATAAAAATTAGCCTTTCCTTTAGTATCATTAGTTTTTATATCTGGACTTTCTACCTTTATACATTAATGACTAAAAGATGATTAACCAATGATATAATCTGGATATTAAAATCATCAAGCAAAAATATGAATAATAATACGAGAGAATAATAATGGTATAATGAATAATGTTTTTGTGACTCCAAATGTATTTCCAGATACCCTTTGTAAGGCTTAGTAAGAAAATGTACTTTTAAGCTGTGAAAGTGAAATATTAAGTAAACTTGGCTAAAATTTAATAACCTCATGCTTAAGTTACCTTATTTTCTAATAAATAAATAAAATCATCACCTGACTCAGCTAAGAAAAGTTTAACAGTAACTGCATATTTCAAGGTAGAATGCCAGATGAGCTTTTTAAAGGGTAATATGAGAATTAATTTCAGTTATACCCTTTCCCCCCAAATTACATAGTTTTGAAATAGATTGATTTAAAGGATACAACCACCATGGGTTTTCCAAAAAGAACATATCCATTTGCTTCCTTTAAGGCTTTTGCTGCTGCTTTTTCATTTGGAAGTCCAATGAAAGCTTGTCCTTTCATGCGACCTTCTTTCATCAGGCGTATATCAAACCTAGAAGTCAAGTAAGAAAAGTAGTTTTGTTTCAAAGAATGTAAAATGATTTTGATGCAATGAATAAGAATGTAGTCAACAATTCAAAAGTTGCCATTTCAAAATAAAAATGACTATACTCTCTGATTAACACATTAGTTATTCAGGCTTTCTAAAATTCTATTTTGTATTCTATTTTTCTACAAGTAGGTAATACAAATTTCATGATGTGTGAATCTCTAAATTTTAACTCTTACATGTATATTTATGTTATTTAAAAGTTATAAAGTAACAGTAAAAGCATACACAGTTTTTGGTTGTTATTGTTTTGGAGATTGAACTCAGAGTCCTGTCCATGCTAGGTATGTTTCTATTACTTAGGTTTGCCACATATATCCCTATTTTCAAAAAGTTTCTTGCAATCAATTCAATACTTTCTGCTCAAAGTGACAACAACAAATAAACAAAAAATAAACCATACGACCAAGGATAGAAGATTAATAGGAACCAAATATAAGCAACTGAGTAATTTATTTTATTATTATTATTACTACAAGAAACTATAATGCGGGGAGAGGGGAAGAATAGATATAGATGAAGTGAAATGAAGGGAAAGGAGGGCATGCAAGAAAAGGGAAGACTATGAAATAAATCTGAAATAATTTTCTTATGTATATATACGAACATACCATAGTGAATCTCACTATGGTGTACATCCATAAGAATGGGGCCCTAATCATAATAAGATATATTCCATGCTTGTACAATTATAGCAAAATGGATCCTACTGCCATGTATAACTAAAAAGAATATGAGGAAAAAAAAGGGAAAGAAATTATAGTATTAGGATAGAAAAAGACCTTGCTTATTTTCTAGTCAAAACTATCATTTTAAAGTGATACCTAGAGAGAAGACTCTGAAAAGTAGATGGCTTAATTCACAGAGTTTATTCCTAGTACAGTGTTCTATCATTCTACAGCATACTCATTTTTCAACATTTCTGAGAGAAATCTATACTCCAAAACTACTTAGAAAAATGAGAGTATAGTTTTCCACTAAGATATGGTGTATTGGATGGGAAAAGAATACTAACATGTAAAGGTATTAATTAAAAAAAATGCACTGACCTTTTTTAATCACATGGTCAGTCTCAAGGGAAACAATATACTGTTTTGCTACCTACAGTTTTCTCAACATAGAAATAGATTTTCAGTTCAAATTCTTATTATAGACAGCACTGAAAATAAAGTTTATATATATACACAAACGTACTTATATGAATGCATACATAATTTTTTTACCCTGTACAATCATGTCCTATTGGCAACAAAAAAACCCAGCATTTTGCATGGCCAGAAAAATAAACTTGATATCCTGATGAGACATCTGGCACTAATGAATACAGATGGAGAATGTTAAGATGTGGTCCTATCTCTGTATCTATCGAAAAAGACTCGCAGGTCAGATAAGAATTAAAAAGTACTTTTTGACTGAAAGTTAAAACTAACTTGTTATTTTAACTCCATTCAAATAATTCTCATCTTCTACTTTATTCTACTTTTTATTTATATGACAAAGAATCTTTACTTTGAAATTAACTAGTACAAAATTTTACAAACTGAAATTATAACTCCAAATATTAGCTTTATAGCAATAATGAATCACATCCCTTTCTTCTATTTCACAGAATTGCTAGCTTTGACTAATACAGTTCAATTAAAAGATGAGAACTTTCTTGCCAGAGTACAAATTTTTAAAAAACTTTCCTGGTTACTGTATATTCTTGGATAATCCACTAAAATAATATTTTTCAAAGTGTCCTCTTTGGACCAGTAGCTTCATATCACCCAAAAGCTTTTGAGAAATGCAAACTCATGAGTCTTATTACACTCTAGAAAACCAGAATCTCTGGAGATAGGTCCAAGAAACTGCTTCACCACAATCTTCAGGTGATTATTATGTGGTATATTAAAGCCTGAGTACCTGTGCTTTAGAGCAGGGTACAGGAGCAGAATTTACCAAAAGTCCATTCCTATAAGTAAAGAAATACATGAATAAAGCCATAAATATTTGTTTATGTATTACAGCTATTTTGAAGCTAGGACTACAAAAATGATTAGCTACAGACAACATGGCCTGCATAAAATAAAAACATTGTATTTTTTCCTGTCTGTCCATTTAAAGAAGTTTGTCAATTCCTATTCTAGATGTCTGAAAGGTTACTTGTGAAAGAAAATTCACCAATTATTCACTCAATCTTTATCTTTAAAAGGAAAATGGTGGCATAACAAAAAGTGTTAAATTCACAACAGAGAAAAATCAAAACATAACTTGAGGTTATATGATTGCTACTTACATGATTCGTTGTGTCTCTGATGAAAAGTCAACAAAGCGCCCAAAAATAAATTTAAGATCCTGGAAATTCAATAAGAAAGAATAAATAAGGAAGCCAGTGGGGAAAATGTAAAATAACAAAGTCGATTTGTAAGTTCAACTTACCTTTTCTTGAACATGTTTAGCTAAATTCTTTACATATATTCTACAGTTTGGTTCGCCAGGTTCATAACTTCTGAAAACTGAAAGTGTTTCCATTTCTTATTTAAAGACAAGACAAAAGATATAAAATTAAAATATTTTTACCAATTTTTCAAAGAAACATATAACATGCAAATAGCTATTAAACAGGTAAAATAGGCTTTATGAAAATGTTAAAGCCATAGATATTAGTAACAATATTACTGATGGGTATACAATACAAATTAAAAATCTGAAATGCTTATAAGGAAAAAATTTAAGTATTGTTTTGAAAAATCTCTGACATCTACAATAACTAAAATCTGTTTAATAAAATATTTACTATTAAAGGTCCTAAGATGAGTTACTTTATTAAAGAGCAAAGCATATCTGATATTGTTTGTATAAACATTTTGATTAAAATAAATTTTCCAAACCACAAGCCACTTCCATATTCAAAAATAATTATGAAGTACTCCAAAATAACAATCGTGTATTTCAGACAAATGTATTTCAGGTTCCCTTTATAGTTCCCCAAGTTTACTAAGCAATCTGTTCTTCATAACTAGAAGTTATATGCAAAAATGCTAGCTGGAAGTCTATCTCTCATTATTGTGGAAAAAAAATTACATGTTACGAATAGTCCAAAAACCTTATATTTTTCTGAAATGAACTAAACAGTAAAAAATCTTTTAAAAGTGAAAAACTATTATGTGAGAATATAAAATTCTAAAATATGCATTTTTAATCATCAACATTATTTTAGAGTTGCTTTGTATGCATCTCAGATATAGTGTGTTAAATCTACAACAGAGAAAAATAAATTATCAATTAACAGTTCTATATTTGTAACACATAACTCCAGATTTGTGGATATAATTATTTATTTTACATGCCATATAAAAAAGTTTTAGGAATGAAAAGAAATATTTTTCCCAAATGAATATAAGCAGGAAACAGTATGAAAAGGAAATTCACCTATGAAGTATGGGGTTTAAAACTCAAAAGAGATAACAAACATTAATCAGATAAAAATTGATGTTTATGCTTTAAGTTATGTTTCTTGATATAAATGGATTTGTTTTGTTTCTGTGTAGTTAAAGAACTGTGAAATGGAATATAAACTGGTTTATTTCATAATATTACCTTCTTTGGAAATTCTGCCCTTTTCCAACTCCCTTCTAGAAATGCATTCTGAGGGCATTTCATCAGAGTCTTCTTTAGTTTCTTCTGTGATGTTCAGATTAGGTTTGGGGAAGATTTTCCCAAATCCTATACTGGATGCATCAACTTCAGTAGCAGGTAATTCTAAGAGTTCAACATTAATATTAGCCATTAACTATCTCTCTTTTCAGTATAGTTTTCAAGTTTCTGTTCCCTATTTTAATTTAACAAATATTTTTGGCACCACTGAATTTTTTTGGTGTTTCTCAATGTTCTAGAATAGACATAGAAAAATATGTCCTGTAAAGGTCCAAATAGTAAATATTTTAGGCTTTGTAGGTCATATGGTTTCTATCATGACTATTTAATTTTGTTATTGTAACATGAAAACACCCATAGACAAGAGCTAAGCAGCTAAACTATTGCTTTGTGTTGCTACATAGAGGTTCTGCAAAGAGGAAAAAATAAATTTAGTTTCAATGTATTCAGTCTAAGGTGCCAAAGGGGCATCTGATGAAATGTTCACTCGTAGACAGTGTGAAATATTAATAACTATAGGAACAAAAAGAAATTTGCAATTAAATAAATTACATAATTCTGCTAAGATAGTCACTCAGTGTTATATAATAGTTATGAAGATTATATTGTGTTACATCAGAACATTGTGAAACAACCTCAATCTTTTCAACAATTATAAGATTAGGATAAGTAAACTATGCTGAAATAAACACCATAACAAGGTATTTCCTTCCATTAACCTCCCCACACTACAAAGAAAAAAAGATAATTATAATCTTGATTCTTTAAGAAGAAACCCAAAATTTAAAAATTACTTATTCAAATTAAAGAAATTAAAAAATACTATAAACTTTTTACTTTAGTTATCAACATATTGGATTTCATTAATAAAATATGAATTTTAGCATCAACAATAATTAATCTGGCATAGGGGAAAAATGTTTAGAAAGACAAGGTTAAACATTCACTAGAAACATTCTAGTTAATACTACCTAAAAAAGAAAACCTAAAACCTCTAACATGCTTCTACTATTAATTTTACTGCTTTGCCAATGACGTAGAATGCCTGTTCCCTTTTTGTACGTGTATAAGTCTTTGAGAAAATTAAACCTAAGAAAATTGTACCACATAAATATGTACAATTTTCATATCCTAGTAAAGAAAAAACAGATTAATAAATTTTTGTGTTAATGAGTGACTTAATAAGATGAACTTACAAAACAAAAAATAAAAATATTGAAAACAACAAAAATGAAGCTACCCAAAAAAATCAACACTAATCATCAGACAGGAATTAAAATTCACTAGAGATTTTCACTCACTATGTTTCTCTAACACCTACTAGAATTCTACCCCATAGTCACAAAAGTATTCAAATATATACGTAAAAAAGATGTATATTTTAGTGTTTTCTATAACAGTAAAGACTAAAAAACTCATAATATTGTATAATTAAATAATGACTGATATTACTATACTATGTTCTATTACACAGCCATTAAAAAGTATGGTACATATTTTTATGCTCTGATATAGTAAGTTATCTCCGCTAGACTGTGAATTCTAAAACACAAGAGAAGATGTCTTTGTCCAGAGTCTGCTATATAACAAACTTTCAATAAGTCACTGAGTGAAAGATGAACACTGTAAAATATGATGTGCATATTTTATTCATATTCATGTTCAAAAACAAGAATAAAAGAAAAATGTGTTTACATGTACTGACTGCTATAGTTTGGACCTACACTGATCCTAAAAGACTATGTGGTAAAGGCTTGATTGGCCCATGGCAATATTAGGAGACGGTGGAAACGTAAGGATTGGGATCTAGTGGGAAGTAGTCTCGTCACCAGGGGCTTGCTCTTGACAGGATTTATGGAAAACTGGTCTATGACTCTTTCTTTCTTTTTGCTTCTTGGCTGTTGTGAGATGAGCGGCTTCCTTTGCCATGTGTTACAAATACCATTTACTGCCTCACCATAGTCCCAAAAGCATTGATTCTATTAACTATGGACTGAAACTTCCTAAACTGTGAGCCAAAATAAACCTTTCCTTTAAATTGATGATCTCTGATGTTGTGTTAGCAACACAAAGCTAACACACAAGATAAAGTCTTGAAGAATGCAGAAACAAAAACATTGGTTGCCTCTGCATAGTAGAACAGAGGATAGTAGGGTTTGGGAATGCTAATTTTTTAAAAAAAATTTACTTTATGTTTCTGTCCTGAATCAATTTCTAATAAGCTTGTATGATTTTGGAAATATAAAGATTTAAGGTACAAAGAAATGACACTGTTAATAAAAAATTAATGTCTAAAAAAGCTGAAAAAAAACCCTGTAATTTTTAATATGCTAAATTTAAATGTAAAAATAGTATTTGGTAAACAATCCTCCAAAAGTTTTGGATTTAAAAAAAATACACGCATATTCTCTCTCTCTCCCTCTCTCTTTCTCTGTCTCTCTCTCACACACACACACAAATAGAGATACATGTGTAAAATCTACAACTCACAGGATAGCTACATTGTTTCCTAATAATACAATGACACTAATAAAACCATAGAACATCACATTAAACAAGCAAGAAGTTAAGACAACACAAAACTCTTGTATTATTAGTGTATATACCAGCCAGAAAACATAAATTTCACTCTAGATGTCATTACTAGCAAAAAAATAATAGTGACAACCTTGCAAACTAAGTTTTATGTATATGAAACAGTTGAAAATGTATAGTATTTCATGATATTAAGGAAGCCTAATCACATATTTTAAATAAAACTGACAAATATGAAAACAGACAAATATTATATATGAAACTTAATTCTAGTGCAATAAGACTGACTTTATCACGTGAAAGAACTCAAATATTATTACCAGAATTTTTTTCTTCACAATTCTGTTCTTTCTCTAAATCTTTCTTCAATGCAGCTGGCAGGTCCGTGGATATGTGGAATTCAATTCTTTTATTACCTACAGGTTGTGGTTGGTCAAATACATCCGAAGGTAACAGCACAGGATGTACATTGCTATTTAAAAATAACCACAGCATGAATTTGTAATTGCAAATCCTGAGAATATTATTTCATTCTCAATTTAAAAGTAACAGTTTGATAAAACATTCAATACACTTATAAGCACTGCATAAAGTGTTTTAAATACTTCAGTAAACTCTAAGATATGCACTAATGTATTATTAAATTTCTACTTTACAGATGAGGAGATTGAGGTTAAAAGATGCTAATAATTTGCATAAAGTTACCAGGTAAATGAAGGGCAGTACTTGAATTACTTGACTACTGATTTTATACACCATGGTATTTACTAATATACTCAAAAAAGTTAAATTTATACTAATGTATAAATTTTTAATGCACTATATTTTATACAGTATGCAGCAGCACTGTGTTAACAAAGTAAATAACAGCTATAAGTGGCTGCTGATTCTTTATGAAAAACAAATAGGCTTAAATAATATTTTGGGTATACATGTTACATAGTTATATTATCAACATTAATTTCATCTGCTTTTTTTTACTGTTTTAATGTGGCTACTAGAAAGTTTAATGTGGCTCACATTGTTTCTGTTGTTCAGTACTACTATAGAGATTAAAAGTATGGAATAGCAGTGTCAAGTCAGGTGGGCATCAAATTATATATCATATTACTTCTACTTGAATTGAAATAAGTGATTAAAAATATATTCCTTTAAAAATAAAAAAAAATTTAAAACTCCCCTCTTAATTTATAAAGTTAATTACAAGAAAAATATATCTAATAGAAAAACTGAATGAAGTTAAAATTTCAATTAATATTGAGACACTAAATAGAAAAGACAAAAAGAGAACGTGATGTTATAAAATGAAAGGTGGAAAATTCTGAGACCAGGGCTACTCAGTATTATTAAACAATGGTAAATTGTGAGAAAATTATGAATAGTTGTAAATGTGGCAAACAGGAAGCCAATGGTGAACCAAGTAAATGTGTATTAAACAAAAGCTACATTGAGGAATAATGTGAGTTAACAAAGTAAACAAAGTTAGCAAGTAAACAAAGTACATATGGACAGCATTCACTTTTATAGTTCTATATAAAACTACCTGTGTGAAGAAGATGAGGGTGTATTCAACATATCCTTTATTTTTCGCTTTTTTCTCACATGGCGCTGCTTTACCATCTTTGGTCTTTTGGGCTGAAAATTTGCTAGTTCCATTAGTTTGGTCATTCTATGTTGGAAAAGAGGGAGTATAAACAAGATCCTTATCTAGAAGCATAATTATTCAATACTGTTGGTGTTAAGCTTAAATTTGAATTTGGATGTATAAAAATAAATTATAACACAATTCACGTATTTAATATGGAATATATTTACATGGGATAAGAAATTCTAAGACATAAATAAAGGGATAAAAAATTTGACAGAGCTTAAATTCTAACTTTCTTTGAAAGATTTGATGGAGCTTACACTCTAACTTTCTTTGAAAGAATTAAGAATTTACTTAAAATTTATCAAATTATCTTAAAAATACTTTTCATTATAAACATTATTAGTTGTCCAAATAAAATGGTGGACTTATACCAAACAAAAGAACTGATACCTTAATACAATTTATGTAAAATTATTGATATTTTCTTGACAGATATTTAAAAGACTTTACCAAGAGAGTAAAACTATTTTGATTCATATTCAAACAGACCATAGATTAAAAAAAGAATTCCACTGAAAAGCATCATATGAATAAATGCTGCAAATGCATCATTATATAAGCAAGGTAAGGTAACAAGCTATCTAAGAACAGTTTTCAAATACTTCACTCAAAGTAGCTTGCAGAGTTCGGGATTTAGCTCAGTGGCAGAGCACTTGCCTAGCACATGCAAGGCCCTGAGTTCAGTCCCCAGCCCTGGGGTAGGGGGTGGGGGTGGGAGTAGCCTGCAAGTAATAATTAGGAAGTAGTATTGATGCCTTGTACATAGCTTTCCTCCATTATGAGTATGAATGGCTAATATATATATCTTACCTAAGCATTTCTGCATTTTCCATAAAGAAGGAGCTCAGAAATCACCAGTCACAATTCTAACTCTCAGAATTTCATTTGTAAAATTTGGAAGCACAACAAATACACTCAATAAAACAGAGAGGAGGTATGGCTCAAAATAGGTTTTAAATTTTTTCCCCCAGAGAAAAATGTAAACATAAGATGTAAATTTTTAAACTCTCTTAATTACACAACTTACCAAAAATTTTATGAAAAATCTAGTGATTTAAATCACATAAATTGCTCACCTGAAGTACACAAAGTACACAAAGTCTCTAAATCAAGGTCATGCACATATATTAGATATTCAAAAAACATATGATGAACCTATAAATATTCCTTTTTTTTTTTATAAGTTCTTTTACAGAGTGTCAGAAAGGCATGGAAACACAGGTTACTATATGCAGTTTTGTTTTCTCTCATAATTAAAGAAGAATTAATGGCAGAAATGAATACAAGGTAACACTTCAACACTAGGCGGTGATTCTAAACAGCAAAATGACCAACAAAAATTAAAAATGTGAAAAATACGACACTGAACAGACTATGCAAAGAACACTTGTATAAAGTATGAGAGCTAAAACAAGAAGGCAGAGAGTCACTGACAAAGTTTGCATCTTGAATATCCCCCAAAGGCCCTGTGTTTAAAAGCCTGGTTTCCAGGGTGGCCCTATTAGGCAGTAATGGAATCTTTAGGAGGTAAGATCTACTGAAACGTCCTAATGTCAACCAGGGCATGCCCTTGAAGTGTACTGTGAGCTGTGATCTCTCTCTTTCTAACCATAAGGCGAGTAGTTCTGCTGTGCTATGTGTCATGTGCTGCCTCATCGAATGCCTAAAATAATGAGGCCAATCAACCAGAACCTCCACAACCAGAGAGGCCAGTAAATAATTAAATAAATAAAGCCCTTTTCTAAGTTCATTATCTCAAGCACTTCATTATAATGATGTAATGCCAACAAACACAGCCACTTTATTTGACCTCATTTGATATCTGCATGTAAGGTGACTTAAATAAATTTGTACCAAGCTATGCGCATCCAGATCCACAAAATACTTGAAAAGTATATTATAAACTATTGATTTGGGGGCTAGCTAAAATATCAGGTAGGCAAATTCACAAACACAAATCCACAAATAATGAAGTTTCATGGTGTGCTTTTAATGCCACAATCACTCCTCTAAAAAATTATGCATACTCCCCCAATATTCCCTTAGGTCCTAGTACCTATTCCCAGGTCTTAATTTATCAAACTTTACATGCTAGAGGGGTGATGGCTATGAACAAATTCTAATGACTCCAAAGTCTGAAGAATTATATGCAAAGTATAGGAAGAACAAAAAGCCTTTCCCATATTCTATGCTTCTTATAATCTAAACAATTTATTCTTATTACTAACCTCTGTCGGTCCTCATCATCACTGCTTTCATATTCTGATTCTTTACTAGATAACTCCTCATCCTCATTTGGCAAAGGAGGGTCCTCAGGTGGCCGAGGAGATGTAGGTGGGAGAGGTGCATGCAATGGCATATAGTCTTCATACTAATTTAAAAAACAAAACAAAAATGCTATGGCAATCCGTGATGTTTACAGAACAGACAAACCAATTTCCATGTAAATACTTGATTCTTATTTCCCTTTACTTCATAATATTCTTTTGCATATTCAGCACACAATTCATGTGTGCTGTGGCAGACTACTAATTGATCACAAAATTTATTTTGTCTTCTTTGGCCTCTAGCTGGACCAACTTTGAAAGCCCCTCTTAGAGTTATTGTTTGCCATGTAACCAAAAATAGGAGAAAAAAGAACTCTAACATAATTTTCCCTTCCTGATCTGCAAACTATTTGGTAATGCCCTCATCAACCTGACAAGGCACAGGGTGAAGACAATTCAGGCTTTTGAATAACTTAGAATAGAATATCTTTCTATCCTAATTTTGGAATGGAAACAACGTGAACAAGAAATAACTTACTATATTAAAAGAGTTAAGAGTAAATTTTGTTCATTAACAGCTGCTAGCACAATTTTTTTTTTTAATATACCTTTATTTTGTTTATTTGTTTATTTTTATGTGGTGCTGAGGATCGAACCCAGGGCCTCACACATGCCAGGCAAGCACTTTCAACTGAGTCACAATCCCAGCCCCTAGCATAATCATAAAAACCCTGTAACAAGCACTGAGTAGGCACTAAAGCTACAAAGAAAAATTATAAAGCTAACACTACATATAGCAGAGAAGCAGTCAAGCCTAATGCAAATTCTCTTCTATGGTAACATTCAAAATAATTTTGTATTATTGTTATCCATAAATATATACAGTATTACACTGGAATAATTTTAAGAGTAGACATAGCTTAATGTCTAAATTACTACAAGATTTGCAGGTAAATTCTAATATAGTATTAGCAACCTTTTTTTTTGTCTTTCTCAAATAACACAACAGAGCCACAACAATGGAATTTTTAGATGTTTCTATTGTTGTGGTTATGTTGTAATGATGCAACATTGTAGGTTAAAGAATTGAACAATACTATAAGAAATTTTGGTCTCTATTAACAAAACTTTCATATTCTGGTTTTCCTCTTTCCCTTCTCAGCTTTATTATTAATATCACATTACTTTATATGTATTTCTTATCTTCACTATACATCAGAGGTTGACATAATACTTGTATAATTTATCCTCAATAATTTCATTCAGTAAATGAAAGTTGAAAATTCTAAGTGGTTTCTTACCATGGGAGGTCGTGCAGTAATTGGTCCAAAAGGTGTAGGCAAATTCATTTTATTCATAAGATGAAGTACCTTAAAGTGGCAAAAGATTTAAAATCATACAGTATTAACATAATGTTTCAACTCACATCCTGTATTTCATGTACTAAAAACCTTCTGTAAAAACACTACTGATTAATTGAGTGAAAAGAAAGGCCATTTCTTCTCTTTATGATCCCAAGACAAGGAAAAACAAAGCACTGATATATCTCAGGTTAGTCTTCCTAATTTTTTTTGTCATTTTTATCAATATAGTTATCCCCACTAATAAGAATGTAATGCTCCTATAATGTAAAATCTAATGTTACTCTATCAATGTTACTGATTACTGAGATAATCAAACAGAGTACAATAATGAAAAACACATATATTTTCTACTTCAAAGAAGTATCCTATTACTGCTGAAATTATCAAGCACTTGCTGAAGGACCCACACACTTTCCTTAGGAAATTCCATACTAATGGTATATTCTAAAATAACAGAAAATTACCAGAAATGACATTTCCCAAATTAGGTTCTCTTTATTAGAATCCATTTTCAATGTAGTTGATGAATGCATTGTATATCATTGCCTGTCTAGAATTAGTCTGATTGATACTATTATACATAAGTATGAAAATCATCATGGAAAATATAGTATTGAGCTAAACAAATAAGTATTTTGAGAAAAATAAGTTTTATTTTATATACCTGTACATAGAACTTAGGTACACTTGCTAAAGCATTTACTATGTTTGCTAAGATTGTGCTTGAAGGTGGCGGGTACATATACTTGAGGCATGAATTCAGAGGAAAAGTCAACCTAAAAAAATAAAAAATAAAAAAATTGAGTGTTTATTATGTTTTAATGATTTCATATTAATAACACACTTTAGGTAAACTGACAATATAAAAAATTGTTCAAATGATACACTTAAAGTTAGTTACCTTGTTCCTTAAAGATCCAAACAAGTACTTTTAAGAAGAAACTTGCCTTCTGATTGCATCACAAAAGGAGGAGACATTTTCAGAGCTTACATATAGTTCTGAACACTTTAATAGGTGCTTCTTGAACTGAATTCAGTGACAAGCACCTAGCTCTAAATGTCTATTCAACGTATTAAAATTATACATGACATGCTAAATTTATTCATTTAAAAATTTTTCTTATTTGTAATATATGTCTTATTTGCAATATATATATATTGCAAATAAGAAAAATTTTTTGCATTATTGTAAAATGTGTACACACACACATACAGAGCAACAAAAGCCGGAAAATCAACAAAAGAACAAATAAAACATGCTAACCCGTGGTTTGGTGCAATTCCATTTTCTATTGTTAAACAACCAAATTCTTTCTTTTCTTTATCATCTTCCACAGTGTCATCAGACCTAGACAGAACATAAGTTGACCTTATCTTAAAATTACATACAGAAAAGAAAAAGAATTTTTTTCAAACATGACCTTATGAAAACAATTCAGTTATGGAAAAAAAAAATTTCAAGCATTTCTCAAGCAGGCATCAATGAAAAGAGAAGCAGAATTGTACTGAAAACCTTTTGCATTATTGTAAAATTGGACATTCACGTTTTCATTTACTTTTCACAGGAAATTTATAAACTTGATATAATAATTCTCAAAGACCAAAAAGAAAACTAAAATTTAGATAGTACATAAGTGATACTCCATTTTTTTTTTAATATCTTTGTCCAATCTCACAGATGTCTAGCACTGTACTTCCTTGTCCCTCCCCCTTCAGTTTCTGATTCAGTAAGATTGAGAATTAAGGCCTAGAATTCTGTATAATTTGATATTTTAATCAAGTTTCTAGATGATTCAGTTAGTCCAGGGATTTACTTTGAGACCCACTTGTGTAAAGCAAATTTGTAAAGATTATATAACAAAGAGTCGTAACTGAGAACCAAATACTGGTCATCATTTTCAAAGGCCACACGTATTCATGACAGCTTAGTATCATTACTGAAAGGAATCTCTTCTGTAAGTTGAAATACCAAATGCTCTGAAATATGAAACTTTTTGAGAGACAACATCATGCCAGAAGTGTAAAATTCCATACATAAAAACCTCATGTAACAGGCACACTATTAATATCACATAAAGTTATCTTTAGACTACGTATATGAGGTATACATGAAAATCATAAACTTCATGTTGAGTCTCATCCCTAAGATAACTCATTATGTATCTGCAAATATTAAAAAAAAAGTCTGAAATATTAGGTGACAACCATTTTGGATAAGAAATAAACGAGCTTTAATTACCTCCTTTCCACTAAAAATGGAATGCTTTCACCACATTTCCATCTCACTTTACATTTATTTTATCATTACTCAGGGTCCCAATGCACAATTAGAAGTGAAATTAGATATTGTTTTACTATACTTGATTTAATGAAGAAATTTATCATTATGGCTTCAAATTATTTTACTTGCTAGTCTGAGAACAATGAAGTAATTACACAACTGGCTAACACACACGCACACTCCCCAACCTAAAATGGTAGGAAAACCTAAATGAATCTACGTACCTTTTCTTTTTTTCAGTGCTTGAAGTGGAACATGGAGAATGAATGCGATCTTGCTCTTTTGCAAATTCAACTACTAAAGTATGACCTAAAAGTTTCAGCTGATGAAGTCTTGTCAATGCCTTCAATTGGAAGAACAAGAGTAAAAAATTTACTATACCAAAAACTATTTGCTAAGTATCACATTAAAAAGAAAACAAACAAACAAACAAAAAACTGTATACATGTTTTATTGTTGTTAAGGCTGTAAACATTTACTTATTTACTTACCTATTTCTTGTTCATTTCTAATCTCAGGCTATCTATCAAGTGTTTATTACTTTTTTAAAATTGATTTGTTAAACAACCTAATTTTTTTATTTTTTATCTGTTCTTTTTAGATATACATGACAGTAGAGTATATTTTGATGTATTATACATACATGAAGTATATGTTATTCTAATTAGGATCCCATTCTTGTGATTGTACATGATGTGGAGATTGACTATGCTATATTCATATATGAACATAGAAAACACAATGGAATGAATTGGACATAACTTTCCTATGTTCAAGTCTTTATTACTTATCAAAGTACTGCTTCCTATATCTGAGCAAAATAAAAAACCTAGCTAACTCCAACCCTCTGCAAACTCTTCTTATAATTAGGAAGCTATTTATTTTACCAATACTCAGGATCTCAATGCACAAATAGAAGTGAAATTAGATATTGTTATAGGAAGCTGAAAATGGCTAGGAAAAAAAAATATATATATAACAAATCTGCATGGTCCCATTCACAAATTCACAGTTACATGTGAACAAAATATTCTATACTTCCTCCTTGATCCTTAACCTTACAATATTTTCTCTCCCATTCTCAGCAAAGCACCTTATATCCTTACTTTGAGGTAACTGAAGAAACAAGATGAGAATTTCAGAGTCCTATCATAACTCCCTATCTATCATCATCTGCATCAACCTATTTTCTGTCACACAAATTAATTATGCATATTTTAAATCTAAATCCAGCTGCTTGATTTGCAAACTAAATCAAACCCTCTCTCATCTATTAAAGTCTTTCTTCAGCTATTCTCTGGACATGTACAAGGGGGTGTTCTTATCTACGATATTAATTTTCTGTCCTGTTGGATCTCCCACATCATACAAACATACTCCTATCTCTCCCACCCAGATTACTACTGCTTATTCTTTTTCTTGCCACTAAAATCCTTAAGAATGATCTAAACTCTCTTATCTATACCTCCTTCCATTCAGTCTCAAATCTATTCAAGTCAGGCTTATGAAGTCCCCTGATACTGCCTTTCATAGACAACTAGAAATTTTGCATTACCAAGCCAATGGTACTACACTTAATCTTCTCTATACTAGATTTTATAAATACATACACCTTGGTAAATGGTTATCTGCTTGTTTTCAGGCATCATTTATATTACGACATATGTAAATATAAATAACATACATAAAATAATGTATATAAATATATACATTTATAATATAAATTTTTTTCTAGCTCGCTGTTTTTTATTTTATTTTACTAATCAATCTCTGACTTGTGCTTTTTTACATTCCTAATGTTAGAATGCTCCAAAACTCTATTCTTGGTCTTCCTCCCTATCTAAATACATTCTTTTGGTGGTCTAATCCAGCATTCTAAATTTAAATATCATCAATATAATGAAAATCCTGAATTTATAACTTCAGCCCAGAACTGTCCTGAATCCAGGAACAAATATCCAAATAATGAATATCTCTTCTCAACTGTCAAACACCTCAAATTTAACATTTCAGAAATTGAACCACTTAATACTCACCCAACCTCAATGTCCTTTATCTGGAGCCTTTTCTCTTTCAGTTAAGAATAATTCCATTCTTCAAGTTAATCAGGTCAAAAATCTTAGAATTATCCTAACCACTTCTTTCCTATATTTTATATTCAAGCCTCTAAGAAATCTTGATTCCTTTTACCTCCAAAATATACCCAGAATCTAACCACTGCTTTAGTGTTTCCAGTGTTACAAATGAGCAATGATCATCTAAGCAAAATCATCTTTGGACTAAATTATAATAACTTTTTAGTAAATTCTCCCATTTCTACTCTCCCCCTTCTTCAGTCTATTGTTAACACAACCAATGTGATTGTTTTAACTATAAGTCAGAGTTATGTCACTACCTTGCTTAAAATACTAGTGGAAATCATTTTTCTCAGGGTAAAATCTAAATTCCTTATATAAACTCCATAGTGAGGACACTTACTTCTCTGACTTCAAATCCAATGCTCTCCCTTTCATTTGTCCTGCTCCTGTCACAAAGGCTTCCTTGAACACAAAAGGCATGTTTATACCCTAGGACCTCTCTGTTCTAGCTGTTCCTCTGACTGGAATGCACTTCTCCCAGATACTTCTTAAGCTAACTTCCTTCACTTTCTTCAAATCATCACCAAAATATGACCCGAACCATCCACACAGATTAAGTACACCTATCTAAAATGCCTAGGACCAGAAATCAGATTTTGGAATTTTTTCAGATTTGGGGAATATCTGCAAATATATAATGAGGTAACTTTTAGATGGGACCTAAGTCTAAACATAAAATTCATTTGTTTTGGATATAACTTTTACATATAGCCTAAAGGTAATTTTATACAATAATTTTAATGTGTATGCATTTTGACTGTGACCTGTTCTACAAGGTCAAGTATAGACTTTTCCACTTTGTGGCTATGTGTTGGAGCTGAAAATTTCAGATGTTAGAGTGTTACAGATCGAGGATGCTCAATCTGCATTTCAAATTATCCCTTTCTCCTTATTGATGAGAATTTGGGTAATTTCTATTGTTTCATGGTAAAAAGTCCTTAAGACACTGTGTTCGTTCCTCAGTATGTGTCATCACAGGAGCTGGTCTTCTTAACACTCTTCTTTTTGCATTTATGAAAATTTCTTTTCTAGTTATCCTACTTCCTTAACTTTTCCCTCCCAGTCTTTTCTCTGGACTCATCTTCCAGTGGGTCATGATATCTACCATAACTATTTACATAGTTGAAGAAATTTTCCATTGTTGACCTTGCCTTAACTCTAGAATGGTATTTTTAAATATTTACCAAATATTCCACAGAAGTAGCCCAATGTCTTCTCAAAATTAATAGATAATATATGCCTTTACAAACATATTCCAACTTCAAATTCTTATAGAAGATCCTCAGAAGCTGCATGGTCCCAATTTAAATTCTCAACCACAAAAATCTTGACTATTCTCTCTCTCAACCCTTACGCCACAAGATCTATAAACTCAATCTTTACCAAATGTCTACGTAATTTGCCCTTTGTTTTCTTCAGATATTTATTCTTGCATTGGCCACTAAAACATCTTTCTATTTGGTTTGCTGAGGATGGAACTCAGGCCTTGAACGTGCTAGGCGAATGCTCTACCACTGAGCCACTACCTCAGCCCATAGACTCTATAATATTTTTCAAGTCCTCTTTCCATCTCAGGTCCTAGCTCCCACTTAAAACTTTCCATGGCATGGCTTTACTTAAAGTGTTTCCTAAATGTGGAAGGCCAGCCTCTTCTTTTGTTCTTAAAATCCAACTAATCATTAGAGGTCTAGTTTAAAAGTCAGCTCTATCATAAATGATTCCCTGGTTTCTACTTTTTAATACTTAACACATCTTTCCTTGTAACATTTACAGAGATAGTTATCCATTTTACATTCTGTCAGAACTTGTAATTTTCAATTACACATATACTTAATTTTATAGTTAGCCTACCACTTCTGAGTTCCAATAACTAAGCACTGGACAAAGTCTGCCAACTGACAACCAAATCATCCTGTTGGGTATACTCTTGGAATACAGTTTTCACTTCTAAAAACTAGAGTTTAATATTACTTCCCATTTTTGTACCCAAACTAAGAATAAAAAAATTACTGACAACTTTAATAGTAAAGAAAAAAATCATACCTTTATAGCTGCTTTTTCATTAGAGAATGTAGCAAAAGCTGTATGTTTCTGAAACAGAGTAAATGTACAAATTACTTGCAATATAATTTCAGTTCCTATAAAACCACAGTAAAGAATGGGACATTGAGACTATTTAACTGATTACTAGTTTCATTCTTTGTTTGGGTCAGACAGAAATAAAAGCTATGCAGCTTTTTCATATAAAGGTGTACAACCTAGCATGTGTTATGTATACAAACAGCCAATAAACCAGAAATTTAAAAAACCTACACTATACACAGAGAATCAATCTTAAACATCTAAATCTTAAATTCTAAATATGTTATATATTCATCCCCTATTTATAACAAATCCAGAGATCTTATAATTTAATCTATACAGTCTGAGGCAAAATTCAAAAGTGTTCACAAAATGCAGAAATCATTTCTCAATATGTATGTTTCATTTGAGCTTTATTTTTGTAACAAGTTTCAATGGAAGAATTCTACTTTTAAGTACATGTTGAAAATACTTTTTAAATTACCAAAAACAAACAAACAAAAAAGCCAAAGTAAACAAATTATCATATTAGGGATAAGTTGTCAATGTTTATTACAAGAAATTGTTTGGGTAATTAATATCACATTTATTAATTTCGCCTAATCTGAAACAAGATGACCTGAATGTATTTAAATTGAACAAAAGGCGCATTTTTATTCGTATTGGTTGGCATACATGACACTTAAGACTGATCAAAACTGGTTTTTAACTTACAGATTCTCAACCTTGGCTTCACATTAGAATCATCTAAGAAGAAAACTTAAATAAAACAACTGATATCTTGCTTTATTGTGGGTCATCTTGCAAACTTAACGTCCCCACTAATTCTGAAGTGAAGAAATAACCATCAAAGACACTTGAAGTATATTAATAAAAAGTGTATGAATTCCTGCGTAGGAATTTTTCAGTGTTAATATACTATTTTACCCATTTTGTCTACTTTGCCTTCCTCTTTTGCCTTTTCTGCAGCGATGTGATTACTGAGACTGGAGCTAATTAAAGCTTCACTTCTAGCGCAAAGCAGTCTGACTTAAGAGGAAAGACCCGGACTCCCCCACGACAAGAGCGCCCCTTCACTCTTAGTCCCGGTCTCCTTTCTTTTTGGCACGTTCCGGATCACTACTCCAGGGCCTTCCGGGAAGAATCGGCGGAGTGCATCCTTACCAGTCGCCCCTTATCTGACAGAACGCGCACCGACTGCGCCCCGAAGTATTTCAGCAAGTCCTCTTTTTCCTCCGCGGTCAGCTCTGCCGGCAAGTGCCTCACTAGAAGGGTTCTGTCGCCCCGGGGCGGGGAGAGCGACGTGGAGCTTGGGCATCCTCTCGGTATGGGCATTGGCTGTTCGGAGGCCGCCATTTCCCTTGGAGAAAAAAACAGAAGAAACACACGGAAGAAGCCTCCGTCAAAACTGCAGCATCAACAGAACCTGAGATAAATGAGTATCTTTTCCGCTTCGCGCTAAGGATTCTGGAAACAAGGAAACACCGCGAGAGATTGTCTCCTTCTCGCGATAATGAGCCACGGCCGCGCGGGCCCTCGGCGGTGATACTTCCCACAAACCGAAGTAGGAGGTGCTACGGCGAAGGTAAAGTAAGAGGTTTTAAATGCCAGGTAGCTGCCGAAGGTACTATAAAGAAAAACTGGCCCTGAGAAATAGAAGGATTATTTTTAAAAGTCATAATTAAAGGAGAAACAAACACCCCCGAGTCACGTAAATAAAAGAACATGTGTACACTAAAGGGCAGAAGGACTCGCCAATGCGCGTGTGTTTGTGCGCGCGCGCGCGCGCGGGCGCGCGCTCTGGAGCCTTTGCTCTCTGGGCTCTTAATCCCAGCCTTGAGGAAGTGACTGTGACAGGCTCTGGAGGAGGCTAACTCTGCAGAAATATGGGGTGTGTCCTTACACTTTGGGATTGTAAAACCCAAAGGCAGAGGGTTCTGTAGTCAGATCTGTAGACACTTAGTGTCTGTGTCAACAGGAGAACTCCGTGTAAGGGACAGAAAGTATTTCCTTGCATTAACAGGAGCATACAGCCTGCCAGTGTTCAGTTCAGAGAATTATCAGCTTCTAGGAAGAGATATCCTCATAACTAAACATGCTCAAGCACTCATTCACCCCCCCCCACACATACACACATAATGTGGGTACTCTTCCCCCCTTTTTTTGAGGACACTGATGTAAAAGGGGATTGTAACAGCTAATACACGAAGTGGGATTTGATCCTTTGTAGTCTGACTCCAAGTCGACACTCTGATCCAGTATTCTGCCTATAAAGTAAATAGAGTGAAGGTCAGAAATCCAGCCCCCCAGGTGCACCACCCTAGGTGCAGCTGCTACAGTGTAGAGCACTGGAATGCCTCTTCCTGGTCTTTTTATTTGCTATACAGGTGCTTGTGAGAGGTGTAGCAGATGTAACAATACATCAAAGTTATGCTGTCAGTTCTGTTCTCCTGGAGCACTGATTGGGGAGAAAAATTCATCCCCAAATTTTCAGTAGTCAGAGATAGCCTTAGCGTTTGGTAAGAAACTTGATTATCTGAAGAAAAATTGGTAACCAATGTTTTTTTTGTTTTTTGTTTTTTTGTAGCTGTGTGTTAGGGTAAACCAATGGAAGCTTTTTTTTTTTTTTTTTTTTTTGTGTGTGTGTGTGTGTGTGTGTGTGTGTGTGTAGGTCATGTTTAGATGGTAGAACTACAAGGTAAATATTGCCAAGAATAACAAGTCAGTATGTAAGTGACAACTGGCCAACTGCCCTGTAGAATTGCTTGACTCCCACTCAAGTTTGCATAAGTAGAAAATAAGATTTTTATGTTAAATACATTAGTAGTTTAGTATTTATTTTTACAATGGCAAAGCCTATTTATCATGATTAAAGAGAAACTCCCCAATATATTTTTATCACAGAGACCAGAATGATTTTGTTAAATCCTCAAAATTCTCTACTGGCTTTTTTTCAGAGAAAAAGATGAAGCTCTTTCTTTGTTCTATAAGAACTGACATGATCTGGCTCACCAGCAAATTACTTTTTTGATATCTATTCTCTACCTCCTTTACACTGCTGTGGACCACCAATGACCTGGCTCTTGTGCTCTTCAGACCCACAGCTCAGATCTTTGCACTTGTTGTTCACTCAGGAATACTTTCTCACAATTATTTACTTGATTAGCTTCCTTCTTTCAGTTGTTTAAATATGACCTCATTAAATTGTTTACAGTCAGCCAACACCCTCTCTACCTCTTCCATTGTCTTCTCTATATTACAGGGGCTAAAAGACCAGAGATCAGATTTTTAAAAATATTTTTTTAAATATCAATGGACCTTTACTTTATTTACTAATTTATTTATATGTGGTGCTGAGAATGAACCCAGTGCTTCACAAATGCTAGGTAAGTGCTCTACCACTGAGCCATAACCCCAGCCCTAGAGATCATTTTTCAATGTTTTAGTTTTTTATTGCTATCTCAAAATTTAGTAACTTAATTCAAAATAACCACCATCAAAGAGTTTTCCTTTTTCCCAAAGTACAATATCTTCATCTTGGTTTTTGCAGTACTTTTTACATCTAGCATAGAAGTCATCATACTTACGCTTTTTTATAGTTACATGTATAAAAATGATTTTGTTATCAATGGTAAGCTCCTTGAAGACAGGAATTGATATATTCATATCCCCATTCTCCCATCATTGACACAGAATCTTACAAATAGTTTGATGATCATTGAATGTTAAAGCATGTAAATTATTATAACTCACAAGAAATAAAATATATTCTGCTGGCAATCAGGTATTATATATTCATTGATTTGTATGATGATTTTAAGAAACAAGGCTAAATATTTCTTTGTAAAATTATGATAAATGTAATATGTCATTATTATGCTGTTATTTTTTATAGATGATTGTGTGTGAATTTCACACATAGTTGTTTATAGGTTTATTCTTTACCTTTAAATACCAGATGAACAAAAGTATAATTTTCCTGAAATTTTGGCTACTGCAAGGAAAATCAACCTCTTATAATATAATGTGACTTGCTTATTTCTGGTATTTGGATATAGAATCCATAAAAGGTAGGGAAGTAGCACCCTGTTCTAGAATATTTGCTTAAGTCCATTTGGAATTAGGGATTGATTTGATTAGCATACAGAATTTTAAAAACATGCAACCCAAATGGATATTTACCTGCATATATGCTTATACATTTAAGTGTTTATTGATCAATCAAAAAATTGAAATATATTAAACATTCAAAGACAATTCTTCTGCCAATAAATGGTACTAGCATAAATAGCCTTTCTGTGAAACTATAAAGCTAGACCACCCTCTCAATATAAAAAAATATATAAACAAGTGATAAAGTGTCAGAAAATATAGGTCACTAAAACATTTTGGAAAAGAATTAATGGGTAAGTATGTATAGGATATAAGCAGGTAATTTTCCAAAAGAGAATTATAAATGAGCCATTATTAGATGAGAAGATGATTGGCCTCACCAGTAGTAAAGTGAATACTGATTCCATTCCACAGGAAGATATTACTTTATAACTATCAAACTGGAAAATATTTGGTATAGTCAATCAAATATTGATGTGCATATGTGGGCAAATTTTTGTCACAATCTTTTGGAAAAGCAACTGAATATTTATTTATTCAGATAAAATGTACATATATGCTTTTTGTTTCAGCATTTTTTCAAATGTATTTCATTGAAGTAAAAGCACCTGTATGTCACTAATTTACTGAATGGTTAAATTACTTGAACTTAGTGGGCTACCAAAAAAATGAAGAAACAAAAACTTTATTTTACAGCTTCAAACATGCTCTAGAGGATCTCTCTTCCTTATAATATTCCCTAGCTTTCCTATTCATTTGATTTTTAAAACAATTAACTACTTAGAATTCACTTTTAATCCAATTACAAATACTAATCTTGCTTCTAGGATTATGTCCTTTGATCTCAGGGACTGCAGCAGGGTGGGAGATATAGCCCTTGCTTTCTCTGTTCCTTCACCTTCTCTTTCTGCTTCAAGATTCTCTGGGCATAGGGAGTAAATTCTCTCTTGGCTATTCATGGGAACTAAATATATAGGTTCCTTAAGAGGGACCTGAAGAATTTATGCCATGTAGTTTCATGATATCAGTGATGAACTTTCTGATTGACACCCATAATTCTGTGTTAGTTCTTGCTTCCATCTACTTGCAGTCATTCATCCCAGCAGATAGACTCCTTGGGTGGGGTCACATAGAGTGAGTCCAGCTGTCTCTTTAAGTGATATTTCTGGCCAGACTATCAGTTTCCAGGAAAGCTCCAGAATCTTAGTTCTAGCCTACAAGTGGTCTGAACAAATGGTTTGTCCCCAATTTACCTAAGTTCCTTTGCTTTCTTCCTCATTCATTCCCAAGATAGTTATGCTCCTGCTTCACAGCAAAACATGTTTTAAAATCATGCTTTAGTAATTCAAATATATTGAAAAGCTACAATATATAAAGCTACAAAAATTCTTTTGTTAATTAATTACAGTGACAACACTGAAAAACTTAATTCTCTAAATCCATAGATTATCAGAAACCTCATTTTTAAAATATTAATGAGATGGGAACTTTTCACCATTACTGGGAAGCTGAACTATGTAAGCACTATGACACAGAGTAGTTGCCTGTTTCTTTCTCAAATCAAAGCTTCAGGTAATGTGTTTTCAGACCAAGAGTTGACATTCATTTCTGTAGTTTCGAGAAAACAGGACCCTATGCTCACTTTTCAGTCCTGGCCTCCTCCTAACACAACCCTCCTTTGCTTTTAACCTATCAAAGAACTATTCATTTAAATTTCATTTGTACCTTACTCTCAAACCATAAGAACACTGGAACACTTCCTTTGTTTTGCAAAATGCCCCATCATTACTCTAATGTGCAGACTCTCTTACTATAACAAATTAATAAACCTAACTTTGTCAATCCATGGATCTGTTATTGTCTGGTGGTCTATAAGAAGATTAAAGAGTAAATTTTGAACATTTTCTGTGCCCAGCACTCTCCAAGACATTAAAATGACATGTACAGTACCATATTAGATGGAAACCAGTACATAACTTGAGTTGTTACAGTACTCTCCTGGAAGCTATATAAGGCCAAGAGAAGAAATAAAAAATAAAGGAGGGATTAATTTTATCTTCCTAATCCTTTGAGTGCTTCCATTGGCCTTAATTTATATTTTACTCTTATATTCACCTCATGCTGCAGGGAAATTGAACTATTTCCTTCTTTTTGAAAATCCATTTTTATTTCTATATACTCGTATATGCTGCATATGCCACCCTCTAGGTGATGATTTTCTTAATCCTTATTTAAATGTGGTC